TGAGACAGTTTCAGGTTTTCCTTCATAAAGAATGTCCGAGTAGTTCATGTATGAGCGTCTATAAACAATTGAAATCATTATGTCCGTGTATATTTTTTCCTTGGAAGAGTCCCTAGATATCAATATGAATTACACTAATAAGATGTGAGGGCTTGTATTGTAGTTTAGAGTATACATGTTTGATATGTTTTACAAATTAGCATGTTTCATATTGATAAAAATTGAACTTTTTAATGATAAATAAAAGTAAAATATTTTTAATTTAAGCAAAATTTGGATGACCAAGACGACAATGTCTTAACATGAATTTCAACTAAAATGGTTTTAGAATTTAAAACAAGATTAACAAAAATTGAACTAGGCTCAAAAATACAATTTGACAAATGAACTTGTCTACAAATGAGATTATTTCCTTTGAGCAGATATAGACCACCATGCATCTCATAACTATCAACCACATTTCCTAAATCCACTAACTATAAATCACAAAAATTAGGATAAAATTATTCACATTTTAAGTCATGAGTAAGTTTGTTGATTGAAAGTAGATTGCAGTCTAATTTTGGAACATAAAGAACAAAGTAAAGGTGAAGATCCTTTGTCGATTCAACTGGTCCAGTTTCTTCTAGAATAAACATTCAATTGTTTGAACTATAGAGTGACTGGTGCATGAGTCGTAATTTTAAAAAACGATGTCTCCCGTCATATGATTTAAGAGTCTAGAATCAACCATGCAAGTTTTTAGTTTATTGCTTTGAATAATAAGAATATGGAGTAAAATACATTTGTGTAGTAACAAAATGGTTGATTGATCAGTATATAATTGTGGTACTTGTCTGGAACTATAACTTTGACCCAACATTTTTTATAGTGTCTCAATTTGCTCATTGGTGAATGGACTGAGTTCTGCATTTTTGTTGGTTGTGACAGTAATATCTGCACGGTTCTCAATATAATGTCTTTCATTGAATGGCTTCCAATCTATAAGTTTTTGTATAATTCACAGCATGTTTTCTTCATATGATTAGGTTTCTTACAATGATCACACCAAATTTATCCTTTCTTAGGCTTATAATTCCTAAAAGGAATTGTGAGTGTACAAACTTGACCCTTCAACAGGAAGTGCGGTGTGATTGTCTGTCATCATTAACTTCGTTTTGGTTTCCTCCCTTAGAACTTCTGCAAATGCCTCTCGAATGGTAGGAAAGGGTTTAATTCCCATGAACTAGGTCTTTATCAGGCCAACAAGGAATTTGGTGATCCTCTTTTGTTCAATAAACTTCATATATAAGGCAAATTTGTTAGGACATTTCCAGGAATAAACCTTGTACATGTCCAGTTGCAACCAACCAAGTGTGAATGAGTTGAAATATTGAGTAGCACTCAATTCCAATTGTCGTGGATCATGTAATATGGTCTCAATCTCAAATAACTCCGAGAAGTTCTGCTACTATAGGTTTCATGTATAGCCTCCCATAATTTCTTGGATGTCCTATAGAGCATGAGAAGTTCTTAGTGCTACTATAGGTTTCATGTGTAGCCTCCCATAATTTCTTGGATGTCCTATAGAGCAAGAAATTTTCCCCAATCTCTACGGTCATGAAAATCATTAATAATGACATAACCAAATGATTGTCAATTTTCTCGACCCGATATTTAGAATGTCTTTTTTAGAGCCAAAAATTTACCAACGAGATATCTATCTTTTCCTCTGTTGCAAGCGCACATTAAGATGGACTATAACAATTGAAAAAAGTCCTCCCCATGTATTTTATGATTAGTTACTAGGTGGAATGAGGTGTTAGGTACATTAAGCACTGAATATGTAGGCTCAAATCTAAAGATAACTTTATTGAAAGAAGATCATGAGGTCATACCATGCTTCATCGTGATGAGATCGAGAAGCTGGATCCATGTCAGATTTTTTTAATGGAGCGAATGTGCGCGTATGAGAGAGACGATGACCTCGTTGTTGTGCTTGGATCGCTCTATATATGCTGCAAACTCATCATTGTAGTCTAATGAGATGGTTCGAACGACAGCTACAAAAGAGACGAAGCAACTAATCATGAGCTCATGTGCATGTGAGCGTCGAACAACATCAACAGATTTTTATGGATTTGTCGGTGACGAGAAGGTTTGGTTCGACACTCTTCAACCTCGAAGACAGAGCAGACGCGGAATAGGTTTGCGGCCTAATGAATGACATAGTTTTCTCATAGCTCTGATATCATTTGCAAATTCTGAAAAAAAAGATTTTTATTTCTTGTTCAACAATAAATAGCATCCTACTATATGTAATAGAGTGGCCAACATATCAATCCATAAATTAGGAAACTACAAAAGTAAGAAATATCTACTAAAGGAAACAAATAAATATTAGAAATTATTTTAACTGAAGAATATAAAATCCTTTCTGATAACATAATTCATATGGAATTTTCTTTTCATGCCCGCATTTTGCACCATAAATCTACAACTTATTTTCTTTTATTTTTGAGTCTGCATGTGATTTGATCTCTATGTTTGAGTAATCATAGGTAACAAAAAAAATTTTAGGAAAATTTATATATATACCTGTCAAATCTTATGTATTTCTTATGCATTTATCTTTTAAAAAGTTAGTACTAGTGATATTTTTTATGTTATATTAAAGAAAGTGTTATGCATGCACATAAAAAAGTTTAGGAGTTGATGCGTAAACATGTAAGAATTGCATGGTATGTAAGAAATGCCCCAAAACTTTAAACCATTGCATTTTGGTTTCAGCCAGAGAAGGTACAACCATTTGTACCACTACAAACATGTATGCATATATATATATATAGCAGTTTGTATGTAAAATAAGCAGCTACGATCCTAACCATATATGGAAATGCTGACATATTGCAAGGCTACAAATATTTAAGTATGAACATATGACTGTCTTGCATGGACATATAAGAGCTTTTCAAGTACAATAACAAATTTCTATAAGGAAATTGCCATACTAGGACACGCTTAAGCTCTATAATAAAAATAAAACAATGGAGATTTACCATTATGCTACTGAAATCTTTTTATTTCCAAACCGAACCCCAAACTAGTTGAAATAGACAACAGAACACATTTATTCGTGCTATGATCGAGCTAGTCCTGATAGGCATTATAAGAGAATAAGGTCGGGCAGGAGTTGGCTAGCTCGGGCTATTGGTTCAACCACGAGTTAGGTAGCTTCTGAAAATGTAGATTGGCTTAGCAAGGGA